GAGAGAGAGAGAGAGAGAGAGAGAGAGAGAGAGATAATCACAAATTGCCCTTTCTTATAATCGAAAGAACAGAATGTATCACCACAGTCTCTCCACCACTTGGTTCATAAAACATGCGAGTCTTGACATAGTGTGTTTCCCTTGTTTCTATCTTTCTTAAAATCCTTGAGTGCAATTTATTCCTTGACTGTGCAATTTTATATTTCCTAAACTATGCATTTATTAGTAATTCATTTACTCAATTGCCTATATTGGCCATCTACTTATCTTTCTACGCAGTAAGTATGCTACTCAATCTTAAAAAAGTGTCCAGATATCGTGCAAGTTCTACTGAAGTAGAAATGTAGGTTCCTTAATATTTACATTTCTATTCATCAAAAATCATTCAACAAGCATTTCCAGTATGTAAAGTTTCATGCCACTGAGATTCAAGGTGGAAGGGTATGGCAGTGATAGCAAATCAACATAAACGGCACACATCATTCACAAGTATGAATGTGCCAAGTGTTAATTCATGGTAGAGAAAGAAGGATTGTGTCTTAGCAAGAATTCAATGGTTATCACTAACAGGTGTAATTAAAAAAGGGTCATGCTAAATAGATAAGAAGTGGCATGAAGACTGAAGTCGTTCAAAAACTTCCTTAACAGTATAATTTCCATTTCTCTAGCTCTAAAGTTCAATTTACCATTAAAGTGACGTGGTTACTACTACACATCAGTAACTCCAATTATGCTCTGCAATGTGTTATTCATTTGTTACTTGGTAACGTACCAGCAGTGACCTTAGGTCTATCGTTTTCAACCATCAACTGATGGCAAAGTTACGAAGTTGAAGATACATTTTCGGAGCTCATATATAGGTAGCAATATATTCAGAATAATTCAGTTTATCCATAACTCATACAAAAGTGAGAAAGACACTTGAAGAGTCGCAACTTAATTTTGGAGCTTAACAGCCACTTAAAGACATTTACAATATGTAAAGTCCGATGACTATGCTTAGTTTGACAATAGTTGTAAATTCTTCATGGTCCGAAGGGAAACCTGCTGGACAGTTTCATCACAAAATCTTGTAGTCCAATTAATAAATATAAGATAAATACACTATCTTGCAATAATGTTAAAGCACAGATAATCACACCTCCCAAGAATATTACTACATAAAACTCAAATGTCATCATTTATGATGAAACCAAGTAAAAGTGCCTGCTATGAGTGACTTGGTTCGTGTCAAAATGACATGCATGACCAATTATTTCACCTTTTGCTCCCCGAAGCACAGTATTTTTTTCATTAAATCGTCTCAAAATTACTCAAGAAAGGACGTATTTTATGTATATAGCCAAACTAAAAAAGTAGAAAAGCTTAATCTTCATCAAGTCATATTCATCTCATGCCAATACCTTCATCTAAGAGAAATGACTTTCCTTAAAAACACAAATAGCCTGCAAACTATTAAGAAATTGATGTAAAACCACAAAGATGTCCTCCCTATAATTTAATTGATCTGGCTAGACAGGTATCAATTTAGCACCTTCCCCAAGATCTCTAGATAACTCCGAAGTTTTTGATGTACTGTGTCCTAGAGGCAACAGCAGCACAACTCTTCCTATTACCATAATAATGTGGAAAGCATCAATGAGATAGAAGCCTTAAAAATCCCAGTTGCAAGTTCATATACAGAAAAGGGACTTCTTATATAATAATTTGACCCATTTTAAAATTAATAATCATTCTCCTGTTTTACACATTTGAACTCCAAAATATGTTTCAAGCTTGTCATGTTAATACTTTAAATCAAGTTTCTAGTCTGATTTATCCACTTTTAACCAGATTAGTAGTAAGTAACAACACAGATAGGACTAGCTACCGTGTCCTAAATCATCTCGAACTGATCGCAGAGCAAACATAAGAATGTTTAACTGAATCAAATCTACAAAATTTGTAACTTTACAATGATGTACTTTCATTTCCCAAGGTTTTGACATCTAACTTCATACCTTGGGTTAACTTTGTCCAGCCCTAGAACCAATGGAACCAACATGAGGACAGGGGTCCAATCAACTTCACCTCTGGAAAACTCGAAACAGTGCCTAGAAAGATCTTGAACGCAAAGAACAGGAGCTCCACCTCGTTCCCCATCTTCATCACCAGAAACCACATATATAGCCATCATTGAGGACAAGCCTCCATTTTCATTCTCCTCCCTCTTAATACGCACCAAAGTTTCCCAGGTGCGACACACGGCATATGGACCCACCCATGATCCTGGAGCAAGGCCATAAGCCTTTCCAGCTTGCAGAAGATTGTGTATGGAGAAAGGTGAGTCTTCAGAATCCCCCAAAAGTTGCAATATTTCGGTGTAATTTTGATCGAGTGGCTGCATAATTAGAATGACATCATTGTTACCATCAACAAAACTTGCAGGCCATCGGATGTAAATGGCTTAAATTATATATATCTACATTACTAAAATATCAATGCATAATGATCAGATTCAGCATTAATGTACATTACCTTGTGTACAGATTTCCTCCACGATCTTCCAAATTTATGAAAAAGAAATGCCTGTGTACATAGGAAAGTAATCAGCATTTGCTAATTATACACACGATATGAATCATGTCTCTAAAAACAAGAGAAGAGGGTAATGCCTGAGCAACAAGCATCTGGCTGCTTCGAAGCATGCAACCCCAATGAACATCACTAGTGTACTTTGAATCTCCAATGGGATCAAATCCTAGAAGCTCACCAAAACAAACAGAATCTCATTAACCTCGTCATCATCATTCATTAATACATTCATTTGATTCACATATATATAGTACCTTTTCGGTATGTGACCAAAATCAGAGATGAGAAATCCTCAACAAACGTGACAAATCCCTCTCTCTGAGTCAGATCAGAACTGGAAGAATTCAAGTCATCTCCTTCTTGAGCAATTTTATAGCAAATGCCCAAAAGCCAGATATCACTGTTCGACACGGAAACCCCTGATTTAGTGAACCCCAATATTCTCCTCATTGATCCACCATTCATCATCACCCTCCTCACAGCTGCTCTCCAACCCTCATAATAGTTTCTCCCACTCGCAGACTTTTTCCTAGGACTACTGGAGCAGCTACTTTTCGGCTCACTATTGTTATTACTATTCGAAGTCCCAAAAATTGACAGAGACGGTAGCCAGATTCCCGACCAAATGGCTACAGACTTGTGATGCTTAATACTGGTGGCACTTGGTCCTGCCTCGGATGAGACAGAACCCGGAATTCCGTTCGAAGGATAATTACAGTTTCTTTTAACAGAATTATGAATTGGATCACTGTTTTTCCCTCGAAACCCCTTCATGAACTAATTAATTGAATAATCGGGGCCGCATATGAAGACCATCCCATAATAATTCGATATCTAAGCAACCAACCAAAAAAAAAAAAAAAAAAAAGAATAACACTGTCAAAATCAAGATACCCATATTCGTAAATTAAAAGTAACGAATTGAATTTTATAGCTTGTAATCTTTCTGTGCAAATACATGAATTATAAGCAATATTACGATAAACGGAACAAGGATAGAGGGATTTTGAAACAAACCAGTCACCGGAAGATGCTAATCTCAGGGAAGTTGAAATTAATGGGGATCTTAAGTTTCTGTACTTTGGTCTAATGAGGTTGTTTCATCGCAGGGCTGGGGATAAATGGTCTTTGTGTTGTGCGCATTATTTTGTACATAGGTTGCGTAGTGCGTGCAATTTGTACACTTGTTCGTTTTACGTAATAAAATATTAAAAACTGTTATAAACTAAACCGGAAAAAAAAAAAATTAGAGAATTCAATAAATTGACGTGTTTTATTAAGAATTAAAGTTCCATATTTTTGGAAAAAATTTAGAGATATAATGGTAATATTTATTGGGATTTTAAAATGATATAATTGTCATTCACTAATAAATATATTATTTACAATATTTTCATTTGAAAAATATCCGTTGATCTCTTAGGAAGTCTTATACATACAGGGGTATTATTTTGAAAATAAATGTCTTCTATGTTATGATCATTCGTTATATAAAGAATATGCCTCGTTAAAAATTTATTAGGAAAAGCCTATGGGAAAAATTCTAATGAAGGAAAAAGAGTACATTATTCTTTTAAATTGTATAGTTAAAAAATTTGCTGGAAAAATTTAATAGGACAAAATCTTGGTCAAAAGAAAAAAGTACAACGCATTTCTCCCTCTCATGATATTATTACTTAAATTATACTTCAAGCATATTAAATTCTTTAGAGATAACATTAATAATCATGCCGATGAGTTGACTGTAATCGTATTTCAACTTTCATGCATCTTCAAGATAACATTATATGGACTCGTGATTTCATCAACTACAATCTTTGCTAAATTCTCTATGTTAAGAGTCGTGCATTATACATTACAACTTCTTCTTTTTTTTAATTTCATTTTCGCATAAGTATATACATTTAGATTTTTGGACTGCGTGTTCAGAAATTTCATGTTTCTCTAGAATATTTAATTTTAGAATTGAAACCCTTTTATTTGGCCAATTATTACTCGATTGATAAATATTGATCATTCGCTATATGATGCAACACATTATGTATGAAAGCATTGTCGACAACCTTTTCATTTTGGATTCTATTTTTTTCAATAGTTACATAACTTTTTGAGATATATCAAGAGTATATGTCTCTTTAATGGGACAATCTTTATTAATTACACCATTTTCATTTAAGAATTTTTATATTAGAATCGAATATCATCATGTTTCAAAATGTGTCATAAATTATTAAGTATAATATTAATTGATTGTCCTTTAGGATATTAATTCGAACAAAAAAGCTTATCATCCAGGCCAAAAAAGAGGTACCCACCTCAACCCCTTATTTTTAGGCCTATCCCTAGGCCTGCTTGTAGATCAAGCTTCTAATTCGAATTGGAGCATTTAAAGTAGATATGTGAGATATTGTTGATCTTTTTGGTCAGTAAATGTATCTAAATAAATTATCTTTCAAATTTCTTATTCGAATTGTCTTTTGAGACGATTTAGATATAATGTCTTTTCATATTATTTCCAATTTCTTAATCCCCCCCCCTCGTGTTGAGAGAATTATTAGTCAAATTCATAATCATCAAGTCACTTTGCAAAACATTGCCCGTTATGATTTAATATATTGTATAAAGGTTCAAACTACTCATTTATTCTCAACATTCTTTACTTTCCATTTAGGTGCATTGTAGTTGATCAATTATACATATACTGCACTATCAACATAAGTAGATGAAAAATAGGCTTTAACCAAAAGCCAATTATAACAAGGAGAATTATGATGTTGACATTATGTATAATAATATTCCCTAAAAAGAAATTAGAATAACTTTGTTCTCAATTAAATTAATTGGAGGCATTTAACAAACAATAGTATCAAATCATTTTTCGACATCTCAACTAACACTTATTAAAATGTTGAGATTTAGAATCACTAGCATTAACAAGATATACCGTTTTGATTGTATAATTTGAAAATTTTGTTCATAATTTAAAATTTAATCATCTAGTATATGTATGTTGAATCAAATCTATTAGATAAAATAATATATAAATGATTAATGTGAAGAATGACGGGGCCTCATTTATTACATTGATTAATTTTTAAAGATATAGAGGATTCAATTCATATTTTAGCTATTGATATTTTAATGATTGATTCTCAATAAAGAGAACATACATTATACAGAAATTTATTGGATTTGGGTGTGGGTGTGGGGTGGTGTGGGGGGGGGGGGGGGGGGGGGGGGGGGACATAAAAAATGATAAGCTTTTTTTGAAGTATAACAATTTAGCTCCTATTTGGAAAGAATAGAATTGAGCGATGAACATGTTGATAATATTTGTGAGTCCGCTATAATATATGGCTGAAAATGAAGCTTCATCATTGATAAATGATTTTAAATTCATTCTGTTTGACAAATTTTTAAATTGTTTGTACGAATAATAAGAGCATTAATAGTATGTTCGAAGAATGTATGGACCATTATCACTTTCTCTAATAAAGTTGAGATATATAATGTGCACCCACGACAATGTGAGCATTGTCACATTCTCCAATAAAGTTGGATTGTATTTTAATTCATTAAAGAATGGACAATTACCCCACTGTCACGCGGTTTTGTTGGCCATCAACAATGTTTAGAAATAACATTATATGAGCTATAAGCATTTTTAGTTACCCAACATGATTGTAGTGCAAATCTTTAACCAATATCTATAAGGAGCTTTTAGAGAAGGGAAAATTACTTCAAAACCTAAATATTAAGCCCATGTTTTGTAGGGATTAGAATTTAAATTTTAATCCCAATCAGAGTTAATAATTAATTATAATCACATATTTTTTGGGACTCGTTTTTTAACCACACATTTCTTCAACTTTTAGTAAAATCTGATAAATTTCTGTTTTGTGCGGGTTCGTCGCTAACAATTAAAAGAGATCAGACGATTGTATAAGGGACAAACCTCTTGAAACAAAGTCCCAAAAATAGGAGTTCTTTTATTGTCGATGACTTTACAATTGGAAATTAAAAACAGAATGCCTCCAAGGGGCGCAAGCACACGAGTTACTGAAAGAAATATTTAAATCTAAGCTAAGGAATTTAAAATTACATGTTCTCTGCTCGAGAGTTTTTTGATTCGGTCCTTTGCTCTATGTCTTTTCTCCCTTTTATACTCCATGGATGATCTCTTTGTGATCAACTGCCTAAAAACTGCTTGATCGTTCTACAACTGCCCACTTTCCTCGTAATGGCCAACTTGTCATGAAACTGCCTTTTTTAACTGTTGCCATCGTCGTTCAACCGTTTTCGATTGAATTCCTTGAATCGTGGAACGTGATAGAGCTGCTTTAATAACTGCACTTCTTGATAACCACAACACTTTATGTTTGCTAAGACCTTGGACGAGAATAGAGTAGTAGCTCTGGGCGACTGCATGGCACTCCATTCGCTCAGATTCTGGGCGACTTGCAAATTTGGGCGATGGCGTTACTGTGTTCTTGGGCCTCCCTATTTGGGCCTTCGTCTTGAATTGTTTGATTGAGCTTCATTCTTTGGGCTATCTGATTTGGGAACCCTCCAATTGGGCTTCATTCTTTGGGCCGTTCGATTTGGGCTGAATTTTTATATGTCAACAATTACTCCCCAATATGACAGAATTAATACCAATTATTAAATTTTGCCATATTCACTTTGTGTTTCCAGCAACATTCGAAATTCCCAAGAATTTCAATCATTGTTTTCTTCCATAACTTGAAAAGGTGCGATGTTTTGCAAACCCTTATAACCCCCAAACACGCCATTTCACTGCACCATTAAACCACGCCTCACTTTTTTGCGTCTCTCCCACGATTTACTGTTCATCTTTTGCTTCCGTAGTACGTAACTCTGAAAAAACTCAGTTTCATCCCTAATGGCTACTTCACAATCTCAAGCTGGCGACTCCTTTAGTTTTGATGACTTTCAAAAACTTCTGAGTCGTCCATACATAACTCCGAGTTTTCTCGCGCCCGCCAATGTCGAACTCAATGAGTTCTACCTAGGTCCTTTCTTCAACAATGCAGAGGCAGTCGAACAGGTGACGGTGGGCCAGCTGTTTCCTTGTACTCAAGACCTTCAATTTCTAAACTCTCTGCCGCTGGGGCCACTTCGCGAAAGCGGTATTCGCACTTGGCCCAAATTTGATGTAATTTTTCGTAGGTGGTATGCTCGTCTTGTGGGTCATGGTCCTACTAAGGTATTTTTTGATAATGCTAGGATTTTTGATTTGTTAGAAATCTCTATTTAACCCCTACTTTTGATTCAGCACTTTTTTTGATCGCTTTGAGTTTTTGGTCTTCCGAGTATAATACCTTTATTTTCCCTCTTGGCCCCATGTCTATTACTTTAAGGGATGTTGGGGCCCTAGTGAATCTACCACCTTTGGGTGATACCATTTTTCCTGGTATCTTGGTTTCTGGTGGCACCCCAAAGTTTGGTAAAAACTACATCGAGTCTTATTCAAGCCTGCAAACCCTTCATAATCATTCGAGCACTGAGCCTTCCCATACTGAGCGAGTGGTCTTTCTTCTGGTTTGGCTTTGTAAATATGTTTTGTGTGTGCCAAGCATAAAGCCCTCCCTTAGTTATTTACCCATAGCGCTTGAATTGGCGCGTGACAGGCCTTTGAATTTATGTTCTTTCTTTTTGCCTGCCATTTATAGAGGCATGACTTCTCTTCAAACTCAATTGAAGAATGGTGCATCTCCCACTGGTAGTGGACCTCTTTGGTTCATCCAACTGTGGTTGAGATCCTATTTTCCATTGCTTGGTGCTCCATCAATTTCTCGTTCCTCTGCTAGCTGCTCTGAGCTAGCCATTGAGCCCTTAGCTCCTGTAAATATGTTTAGAAGGGAAATTTTTTCATTCTTTTATTCTTTGGATTCAATCCCTTTCTTCTTTCCTTTTCCTTCTTTTTTGACTCCAAACTATGTGCATCCCCCTCCACTATAGACAGCGCAAGCACCTCTTTGCTCATTTGGATCCAGTTTTTAATCGGGAGGGAGTTATTTCATGACATTTTAATTGGGACCAATGCCAAGGCAGGGGTAGAAATTTATGCTCCCCAATTTTTTGCTCGCTAACTTGGTTTCGGCCAAACTTGGTCTGTTCTTCCTTGCTATTCAAGGAACTTGATTGACCGCTTT